TGTCTCTCAAAATCATTATTTATATATTAAAACGTTAAAATACTTTTATAAAAAATTGCGGGAGAAATTAAATAATTGCGGTAGATTTTTGCGGGAGATTTCCAATTGCGGTAATTTTGCGGGAGAAAGATGTCTGCGTGTAAACTAAAAAATTGCGGGAGTCTCCCGCTGATGGGGTGAGACATGGAAACCCTGGACTTCACCTGCATTGATATATAGCCACAACGTCGATGCTCACGCCCTTATAGAAACCCGAAAAATCATCAAATATAGCTTCATCGACGCTTCTTACTCATTCATACCCATAGCCTGCTCCATTCTTATCAATACTTTTTTAAAGAATTAGGGAAACGAATTAGCGAAGACTGATCAAGACTAAGGAATCTTTTTTCGACAAAAGCTTGCTAACACTCGCCATAAAATTAATAGATTATTAAAAAAATCAGTATATATATTTTTCAGAAGATATAATTAATTTTGTACTTTTTGTTACATATTCATTAAAATTCTTACAAGTATAGTTAAAATTATGTTTGATCATTAATTCTGCTTTCTAAAGCGGATAAATATAACTAATTACGATCTTTCCGCCTTTAATTTTTTATTAAACTAAATATACGCTCTGAATTAGCGTTTGAGAATATAATATTGCATATTTTTCAAAATTTGGCTCAATGTTCTTTGAAAAAAAAGTACTGAAAAATATTTTTTAAAAACTCCGGGCGGGTCGAAAAAAATTTTGAAAAAAAATCCAGGCCGGGCCGTGCAAATGGTACTTCTGCAGGTCTCTGATATATTTAAAGCAACGAATTCCTACTTTTAAAGTTGTCTTAGAAGTTCGAACCTTTCGATATCTTTAGAATCTATAATTTTCTTTAAAACAGATACCGTTTGTGGGTCTACTGAATCCGGCATACATTTTATTTGATAATGAAGCATGCCCCTCTTTCTGCATTGTAAATTGTATGACATAGGCATAATATTTTCATTCAAAGCTAATTCCATCATTTTTTAAATTGGAAATATGTTCTTGTCTTGTTGAAGGTTTTTTTTACAACATGGACTCCTCCGGCTGATAACAAATGTTATATTGCATATTATACAAATTGCATTTAAGCTATATTCTTTATCTTCTCTGACCCATTAATAAATCTATCCAGTTATTTTGGATTTCGATTTACATTTTTGAATGTTGTATTTGGAAAAAAAATGAAATATCATGAAATCATTTAATTAATCAATTAAGGCTATATAAAAATGTTAAAATTTATAATAAATTTCTTACTTCTAAAATACCATATTATGTAGATTGATTTCTAAAAATTATATAAAATACTTACTTCATATTTACTTAAGAAATATTTTCATCATCAGAATCTGAGCATTTAATTATATAATTTTTTTTTAGAATTCTTTGTTTTTTCCTTTCTATGGATAAAAAAAACAAAAATAAGATGCCTTTTTAAATGTATGATTGAATTAAAATAAAAAATGATGGCGTCAGTTTCTGGTTAAGCTTTTTATTTTATATTTTAAAAAATAAATAAAAAATCGGGAAAATTTTTTTTAGGAAAATCGGGAGAAAGCGTAAATCAATCGAGGCGTGTTTTGGCGAAAGTAAAAAATCGGGAAATTACGACAAAAGCGGAATATCGGGCAATACTTGTCCCGAGAAAAATTTTTATTTAAAAGAAATCCCGACTGGCCGTGCAACTCATGTTTCTACAGGTCTCTGATATGAATAAAATAGCATTTTAAAAATTTTACACGCCACGCCGTCGCCTTAATCGGGATCTGACGGCCCTATAATCAACAGCTTTTCTGCCGTGAAGAAAATTGCCGTTGGTGCACAGGTCTAAGTATATTCTAGAATATTATGATAATAAGACGATTCTTAAAAACAATTAAAATGATAATATAAGAGACATGTCCAAGCCGAGAAATGTTATGATTTTAAAATCCGGGACTGGTAGATTTAATAAAAAAAATTATATTTATTAGTAAGTTGGAAAATCATACAATGGGACGTTTACCTGAAACAAATGGCAAAATTATTTAAAACAAACAAAATTTTAAAAAATTTTGGGCCGGGCAAAAGTGATCAAATAAAAAATCCTAGCCGAGCTAAAAAAATTTCCTACAAATCTCGGGGGAGGGGGAGACAGACTTAAAATTGGAAATACTAAAAAATCTCGAGTGGGGCCTACAATTCTGACCTCTGCAGGTTTCTGATTAATATATGGGATCGTCGTACAAAAAAAATATCACTGAGGTGGGGGGGGGGGGGACTAAATTATTTACGTATAATTCTAAAGTGTATATATCGAATATAAATAATTGGTAATAACTTGGATAATATTAATCATTATGCAATATATTTTTTATTGCACTCCCTTCTAAGTGTATGAAAATGGCAAAAAACGAAATATCCACAATATTTCTTAGGAAGGATGGTGGGGGTGGGGGGAATTTATTGGGGGCCCTGATGATACATTAGCTTTAATTTTATTTAATCATCAATTTTTGATCCTGTCATTCTGAAATGGAAGAAAATAAAGGTGATTTTTTAATACTTATTTTAAAAAAGTGACCTTGAGTTACATTTGCGAAAATGATGTGCCATGAGAAATTTTAGGTAGTCGTTTTTGATTGAATTTGGGTAATACTATAGTAAGTATGTGAGATGTCTAAGTTGTTAAAAAATATTTCAAATTTAATTCTATGTTGAAAAGAATTAGATAGTAAACTCTGAGTCTCCCCTAAAATTGCGCGATTTGCATTTTAAAAGAAAGGTTATTCTAAGAATAGTTACTTTTTTTAAATAATTCATTTTCAATCAAAAGTTTATAAAAAAATGGGATAATTTTACCAGTGTTTTTATGTGTCTTTTGTCCGCGCATTTTGGAACTTTTAAAAAGAATCTCAGGGCCCAAATGCGCTAAGAAACTCAAATAAACTCTCAATCAGAAAAATAAGCATTAAACATATCAAAAAAAAGTTCAATTGCTTAGGCATGTAATTTCAACTAATACAAATGAATATGCAATCAACTAGTAATAAATCGGACATTTAAATTAAATATAAAATTTATTTCGATTTTTTTTAACAAATTCAAAACTAGTAAATTATCGTAATATTTTAAAAAACAAGGATTATTTGTTAAACAAAAAGAATTTTTCGGATATCGTGCTTTAACTTCTTTTCTTATATTTAAATTGCCAGCAATTAACATGTTGGGGTGAATTAATTAAATAAAAAAATGTGCATAGTTATATATTATAAATGACGATGTACTAAAAAAACCTAAAATGTTGATATTCAAATTTTTAAAAATTATTAATTCGAACGAGATATTTAAAATTGTCATTTATTCATAATATATATTTTAGTACCCAATAAGAATTCAGTTAAATTATGTGATTGTAACAGAATCCTAATTTTAAACCCTAATTGATTACTGTATGGCGTGTCACCGACTGATTTGTATTCAGCGATGCTTCAAAAATGATCGACAGTTTCTAGATAAGCATTTATCTTTAAAAATAATGATAAAGTGATAGGAGATACTCTTTTTTTATGACAGAGAAGAAAACTAAAATAATAAGTCACTTCTTTTGTTAATTCATCTTGTTAGATTCATAGTTGGTGGAGAAGTTGTAATCTCAGGATCAAAAATATTGAAGTTTAATTAATTAAGATTGTTGACAATTTAGAGGCGTAGTGAGGATTAGAGAAATCAGATAGGAGTTGATGAGATAACTTTCTTTATGACAGAGAAGAAAACTAAAATAATAAGTCACTTCTTTTGTTAATTCATCTTGTTAGATTCATAGTTGGTGGAGAAGTTGTAATCTCAGGATCAAAAATATTGAAGTTTAATTAATTAAGAATGTTGACATATTTAGAGGCGTAGTGAGGATTAGAGAAATCAGATAGGAGTTGATGAGATAACTTTCTTTATAAATACTAATAACTTCCACACTTCTTATTAAATTCATCTTCATCAGTGGTTTAATTTTAAGAAAATATATTCCAAACTTTTTTTAGAAATAGAAATTTTATAATAAAAAAAGGCCTGGGTTAATTTTGGCTATACCCAAATCAAGTGGGTCATTTGTTAAAGCTAATTTGAGCTCTTCTTTATTATAGATTTCAAATTAAATTGGAACACATTTATATTCAATCTCTAAACTTTAGGAATTTAATTATTTTTTTTTAATTTAAATTTTTTTGATGTGGCAGATGGTTTCAAAGGGCAAAGCAACTTCAGACAGTGCGCTTTACCCCTCCACCTACTGTGTGAAACTTAAATCTTGGGTCATCGATTCTACGAGTAAATAATAGATACATTTCAATTTATAATCTAATGTTCACATAAAAAATTTGCTATATGAATTTTAAAAAAATTAAAAAAACAGTAGGCTTCCAAGACTAGAGGTCTGTATAGCGGGGTTTATCCCTTCCATTCTAAGATAGGACGTGGATGGGCATGGTAAAAGATTTGGAACATGGGGGAGAGTGGGCGGGTTAAAAAAATATTTTAAAACAATGAGCTGGTGATGGGCGGGGGAACTTGCTATATTTTTCGGCGAAATGAGCAGAACAGACTTCTATTTATTAAAAATCTTTTTTTTATTATTGCAAATTTTATAAGGTTTAAGTTATAATATATTAAAACAAAATAACTAGAGCCAAACCAACCAATGAAGTGATCTTATAAAACATTGGGCGAATTTTTTCTTTTGCTTTTTTGTCTATTTTATTAAGTAATGAGTTGACCGACACAGCCTAAAATAAATGATTTCACTCAATTTTTAATTTGGCCAAAATTTTGTTACTAATAATTTTTTCCTTGGCTTCGTGGGCAAAATGCCCACTTGGTATTATGACCACCCCATGCAAATTCCATGATTAAAATTAAATATATGGGATCCTCTAATGTAATTATAGTACTATTAAATAATATGGTTGAATATTAATCATAATTAGATATCGTTTACCAGGAAAAGGACTTTTTGGAATTTCGTCTAATAAATCTACACCTTCTTGGGAGAAATATTTCTTTAATGGTGCGCAAAGGTCTAAATATGGCAAATCAGAATGTTTTGGAATAGTCTGAGATGAAGATGGAAATTCCATGGAATTTTGTCGATATATGAGTAAGAACAAAATATTATAGATAAGTTTGTTGATCAAATGCATCCAATTTGATCTTAATAAAAAATTTCTATTATGTCAAGATCCTTGAACTATGAAATCATATTTCATTATTATTAAATTAATTTATTTTAAAATAATATATTCATTGAATTGAATAAATTTTAGGATATCCTTCTAGGCTGATTGAAATAACGTCATTTTACCTAATTAAAACAAATTTTATAAATTTAGCAAAATCTTGACTTTTTTAGTTTTTTTTAATTTCAATTATATTTTTCCAAAAATATATAAAACATACGATAATTATCAAAAAAAATGAAATTTTATAGCATTTTTTTCTTTTTTGCCTCTTTCCTATTTTTTTAAAACAAACTCGGGTGGGGTAAAAATAAAGAAAATTATTTCTATAATATAATTTTATATCTTATATTTTTTTTGAGACCATAAAAAATAAAAATGCAAATGAGAGAAAATATTTTGAATGATAATTAAAAATTATTTATTTATAATAGATTTTTTAAACACAATCAAGTTAATGTATCGTAGTAACGTCTAGTTTTTTTTCTATTATACGTAATATAATATAAAACACAAAATATTTTTTATTATTTATTTATTAATTTATATTACATTTTTCTACAGTACTTATTGTAATACAATAAAGCATTACTACAATTGTCATGACAAAATTTTGTAAATAAATGTAAAAAAAATGTCGATAATCACTATCATCTAGTATCTTACTATTATTTTATTATAATTTTTCACATCTACGTTTTTTTTTTAAATATTAATATATGTAATAATAACAAAAGGAGAATTCCATATAGGCAGTAACATCACTAGGGGGTGACACGCAGAGGCTCGAGTCCCCTGGAAGAGCCCACTCAAAATAAAAAAAAATTTTTTTTTAACCAAATGTAATTTTAAAAATGTTTGTTAAAATAAAGGTAATTTGGATAATGTTAGCCTTAAAAAAAGGTAATTTTGAAAATAATTTGAAATTTTTTTTGAGTTCCATGAGTTTTAAGGCTAAGGCAGTGTTGTTAAACACTACTTTTAAAAGTATCGCGCTATTGCTATCGTTTTCAAGTGAGTAGCGAGCTATTAGCTATTTTAGGCTATTTGGATTTTTTTAAAAAAATTTTTTACATAACTTTATTTCCACAAATAAAATATTGGTATAAAAACATGACTATAATTTGTTACACATATATATATATATATAATTTATTTAATATTGCACTTTATAATAATAACATTTTGTACTGTCATCCCCAAGTCTAGAGCGACGATTAGAAAGTATAAGCTTTGCCATACTAAATAATCGTTCAGTACTAGCACTTGAGGGCAACGCAGTATTAAATTTAATAAACACACTTTTTATATGAAAAAAATCATCAAAGATATTTAAATGAGTATTTTTAGATTTAAAAAAATAATCTAGAGGTTCAATAATATTATTATTAGTTATTTTAAAAAAATCGTCTATGGAAGGCCGCGGTTTCGATCTTGCTATAGTATTAGTATCGTGGTTAGGCATGGCATTTTTTAATGTTACCATCAGCCTATCAAGTTGCCATTTAGATTCAGTCAAATTAATGTATAGCCAATTTAACTTGAAACTAATAGCAGCTATTACATTATCATCATCATACAGATCTGGAAATCTAATTTATATAAAGCGATTGTATTAATTATAAAATAAGAAAAATACCTATTTAATTTTCAAAATTTAAATTTATCTGAGATTTAGATTTATTTATAAAAAAATATTAAAATAGCATTAAATTATGAAATAAAGATTTAAAAAATATAATTATTATACACAAGGTAATTAATAATATATTAATTTTGTATTAATATTATAGATTGAGTTGTAAATTAAGCCAATTTAAATTATGGCTAATCAAGCAATAAATCATTCATTTTATATAACTGTATAATAGAAAATAAAAATAAAGTTTTGACCTTTTCTTAATGCCTTTTAGCATAGAGTCTACCAGTGGTTGGCAAAATTTTGCATCGAAACCGATATCCAGTAGTAATTTTTTCTTCAAGATTAAAGTATTTTTTGAATTTTAAGAAAGGATAATCTATATTTTTCTCATTTTCTAAAGAAATTTCACTATCTTCAACAATCTCACACATTTTTAATAACTAGATTTATAATGTATATTTTTAAATATCAATTTCAATTTCAAAATTAAATAAAATATAAAATAAAAGGATTATAATTTTTGATTTAATAAAAAATATATTTTAATAATTTTTAGATGTATTTATTATGAAAAATTGAAAATAGAGAAGTAGCGCGCTACTTCGCTACTTTCTAAATTAGTAGCGAGCTACCGCTATATTAAAAATACCGCTAGATATTAATATCTTGTTTGAGGACATTATTATGCACTCCCTATTTTTATGATTTTCGAGAATACTCCAAAATAAATGGTCTAAGTGCATTGGAAAGGTGGGTATAATTTTTTCTTAACAAAGATAAATCCCCAAGCTTGAAAAAAATATACGAGCATGCATTCTCTATTACTTATTTTGAAAAATAATACATAACTCTACTTGCTTTCTAAATAAAGTAATTATAAGAATTAATAAAGGTGGGGGGGGGGGGGGGGGTTGTAGAGCTATTTCACAAACTTCCGCAATTTTTTTATATATCTCCCCCAAAATAAATTTTTTTACCAAATTACTTTCGCAATTTGAAAACTGGTCAAGATTTGAGTCCTTGGGATGCGTCCAGCTTTCATAAAGGCGAAATAATTTTTTTGACAATTATTCGCTCTAACTAAACTATCTATGTTTTATCTCTTCCCTCGAATAATCTTCCATTCCTCCTTATGCTTTCTTTCTTTCCTTCTCCTTCCTTGTTTTTAATTTTCTTCTTTATACATCCTCTAATTAAATCCTTTATCCTAAATTCTTTTTTTATTTTCGCTTTATTAATTTTATCTTAGATAAAAATACTAATAATATATATAATATCAGCTACTATTCAAATAAATAAACGAATGGCAAGTTAAAAAAAATTATCTATTTCTGTCAAGTTAAAAAAAATTTAAAGTGAATTTCTCGAATTTTATAATAAAATTAATATAAGTTAAACTTCTCTAATTTGGGCTCTTAATAATTCAGGCAACTCCGATACCAAAACTTTAAGTCACAATCAAATTTATTAACCTTGATTGTATAACTGTCTAATTTAGACAAAAATATTGGCCCTAACCTGACTAAATTAGACAAGTATTACTGTATATATTTTAGTATATAAAATATCATAACTTATATCATAAAAAGAAATAATACATATATTTTATTTTTTCCTATTCGGCCTCTTTTTTCATTTTTTACTGATCGGCCACAAAAATCGACATTTTCTCGCTGATTCGTGGGTAAAATGCTTTTTCTTATGGCCGCCCATAATAAAAGTTAAAAATATTTCATATATTAAACTTACACTTCTAATAAATATGAATTTAAGAGAAGCAAAAAGTAGAGATTGGCTAATCTTTAAGGCTCAAGTTAATCTAAGTATAAAATTTTAACCCAGTTAATAAATACTACTAGTTTTATCGAATTACGGGTTCAGATTAAGCTTAACTAAGATCGTAAACTGCTTTAGGTTAGTTTAGGTTTAGGATTGAAAGATATGGGAGTAGGTTTATATATTTAAAAAAAGAATCAAATAAAATTTTAAACTTTTGTTGAGGTAAGCAGTAAGCCAACCTGAATAATGTAAAATAAATTTTAAAAAAATCCCCTTTTTAAAATTGAGGTACTTTTGCCCGGTGACTTTGTTCGATGGTCCTTTTATCCTAAGATATTTTTTCTAGTGTGTTTTTGACCAAGGACTTTTGTCCAGCGCATTTATATCAGGGATTTACAAGTGGGAATAAAATTTATGGAGAAAACACCCTAATAGTGGCTTTCTCCCAGCAAATCCTGGCATATGCCTATGATAGTATTCATTTATTTCATTTCTTATTAGCATAGGAACCGGAATTCTCAGAATCGTGTTAAATCTAAAAAATAGAATTATTTTTAAAAAATTTTATAAAGGAGAACCACTTTTTAAAAAATATCCAAAACACATTTTGCTACATATTTTAAACTTTGAATAAAACTTAAGTTAAATACATGGAATATCAATTCGATCCGCCGAATCATCAAATTGAATTATTTACTCCATTGAGTCAAGTAAGCATTGATAGGTTTTATTCCTCAATCAAATTTATACATGGGCCAACTATATAAATAAAAGATGATAGTACTATAATATATGTACATATTATTGAATATTATTATTATACTTAAAGTTAAATGTAATATAAAATTTAAAAAGAATTCAAGCATTATTTAGTCAGGGGATCATTTTAAACACTTCCTTCAAAATTGAAAGAGTGCAGTTTTAACCGGAAACACCCTTGTAAGATAAACAATAAAATTATTAGAGGTTTGGAAGGGGGTCTTGGTAACGTTTTAGTTTTAGGCTTTTTTATAAATTTATATAACTATATTATATATTATTTTTTATACGTTATTATGAAACATCAAAATTAAATTAATTATTATTTTATGGTTTGTGAGTTTCTCCCCATTATGTAGTGTTATTATTTATTCATTATTTAATTCCGAGCGAGACTGACCGATGCATTCCCCTTCTCTGAACTTTTAATAAATTATATTATGATATAATTTGAAATGGAAAAATAATTATTATAAGGATAAGTAAAAACACAATGAAATTTTTTAAAACTTAATAAATTATATTTTATGAATAATTTATAATTGTCACTTCTTATTATTATATTATCTAATAATATAATCTCCATAATCAAAACATGATAGTTTTCGTATCTTCCTAATGTATTTAAAATTTAAGGAGACTATATAGTGTAATGTTATTTTTTGCTCTCTATGAGAGTCGAACCACAAACCTCCCGTTTCAAAGTCGTATGTTTTAAGCATGCACCAACTTGAATAATT